AAGCCCTCTTCACTCTGCAAAGTTATGTCATCTGCACAATACAGGTTGTTAAAATCTTCCTTCAATCTTGATGCCACATTCTTTTTCATGTAATTGAGCTTCTCAAATGATTTACTCAGAATCCAAACTAGATATGGATAAAGGATACAACCCTGACACATTATCTTTCCTGATTTTGAATTATGCAGTGTCTTCTTGTTTTGGTCAGACAAATGTTGCTTGGTCTACATAGAAGTTTTGCACAGTTAAGTGTTCTAGGAGTCTCATTCTTTTCAATGTTATCCATAGTTTGTTATGATCTACAAAGTCAAGTGCTTTTGCATTATAAATAAAAAAATATATTTTGCTATTCTAAGATCCATCTAACAGTAGCAATGATATCCTGGGTACCATGGCCTGTTCTAAAGCCAGTCTGAATTTCTAGCAGTTCCCTATCGATGCACTCTTAGCAGATATTTGCTATTAACAAACTGTTAAATACTTTTAGCAAGCTTTTATTTGCATGTGATGTTGTTGTTGCTGTTATGTGCCATCGAGTCGCCTGCGATTCATAGCGACCCTATGTACAACAGCCCTAAACCCTGCTCTATCCTGTGCCAGTCGCACTGCCTCTGACACACCCATCCCGATTACCCCAGTCACTGAATCAATCCATCTCATAGAGGGTCTTCCCCTCCTGCGCTGTCCCTTCACCCTCCCAAGCATGATGTCCCTCTCCAAGGACCAGTCCCTCCTTACAACATGTCCAAAGTATGTCAGATGTAGCCCCAGAATCCTTGCCTCCAAGGAGCAGCCTGGTTTCAGCCTCTCCAGGATGAATCTGTTTGTTTTCTTGGCAGTCCATGGTACATTCAATACTCTTCTCCAGCACCACAGCTCAAAGGCATCAATTCTCCTTCTATCCTCCTTGGTCATTGTCCAACTCTCTGATGCATAACAAGTGATTGCAAAGACCATAGCCTGTATCAGATGAACCTTAGTCTCCAGAGTGACACCATTGCTCTTCAGTACCCCGGAGAGGTCCCCAACAGACTTTCCCATTGCAATACGTTTTTTGATTTCCTGGCTACTGGTGCTAAGAGTGTTGACCGTGGAGTCAAGCAGACTAAAGTTGTTAACAATTTCAATCCCTTCACCATCCATCCTGATGCTGCCAATTGGTCCAGTGGTATTAACTGACAATATGGATCTCCTCCAGTCAGTTGGTCTGGAAGCTGTCAGTTTAGTGAAGTAGAAACCTAAATTCAGGGTGCTGGCACTAGTGGAAGGCTCCTCTTTCTGTGTCTCCCAAAGCTAGGAATTTTCCAGCTGAGTCCAAAGAAAATGCTCTCCATCGGGCTCTTCTTTCTTGAAAGTGACGAAGTTCCTCCAATTTCTGTTTGCTTATTTAATCTTTTTTATATGTTAAAAAATTTGACTCAGGGATTTACAATACATGGGATAATTACATCAGATCAATTTCATAATACTAAGAATCATGGCCTAACCAACTCCATACTATTTCTGGGGTATATAATTCAATCCAAAACAACCTGCTTCAAATCAAGTCTGTCCTTCACAAAGCTAGGCAAACAAAACAAACAAACAAAAAATTATGTGAATATAGTTAATTTTGAGGTAGAATAGAAACGTAGATTTAAAAAAATGCAAACATCCTAACATGATAAATAAAACAGAAAAAAAATTTGGACATAAGGAGTTTAGGTTGAAGGAGAGAAGCTTCTATCTTGCTACATACTTAAGGCCAAAATTTTTCATTTTAGGAAAAAACCCTCAAAACCTCAAACTTATTGCCATCAAATTGAACTCACAGCTGACCTCATGGTGGGTTTAAAAGGCTATAAATCCAAGAGTAGATGATTGCCCACCTTCACCTTGTGGGGACACTGGTGGACTCGAATCATCAGAGAGGTGCAGACTTTGAGTTCACAGTGTAAAAGCTCTAAGGACTATACCATTAGAGCTCAGTAAACACTGAGTAACAGATAGTCTGTCTATATAATTTTGTAACTTTTACTCTTACTGAATTATCTGAATAAACTATTCCTCTTCAGTTATGAAGCAGCTATACAAATACTAGTGAGTTGCTGTTAAGTGCTGTCAAGTCAAGTATGACTCATAGTGATCCTATGAACAGCAGACCTGAACCCTGTCCTATCTGGTGGGTACCTAAAATATGACATCGACATGTATGTATGTTATGTCTTAGAAGAGTACAGCCAGAGTGCTCTTAAAGGCAGTGATAGTAAGATTTTATCACAAAGTCACCAGGAAAAGACATCATGCTCAGAAAAGTACAAAGTCAGACACAGAGATGATGTCCCTCAATGAGATGGGCTTACACTGTGACTGCAACATTGGACTATAGAACACAGGAGAGACCATGAGCATGGCAGAAAACCAGGTAAATTCAATCTGATATATACAAGGTCTCAATGAGTTGGAAATGACTTTGACTTGATGGCACCTAACCATGTCAATAACAACAACAAATTACCACTGTAAGAGCTCTTGTGGCACTGAGGTATCATGGTTGATTATTCAAAATGGCTTTCCCCTGCCATCTACTTTTACTGCATGAGTAGAAATGAACTTGAAATAGAATGTTTATAAACCTTTCATTATGGAATTGGTTCTGTTTTTACAATTCTACCAAGTTTAAATTGAGTATGTTTAGCAGCAAAGGTGGGACTCTCATTACCAGAAAGGAGGTGGAAGCAGAGAGTGCAGTGTGTGTCCTTTGAGGCCAGAGATTCCTGGGCTAGTCATACCAGGATCTACACGAAAGCAGCAGCAGCCTCAGCAAAGAATCAGAGACCAACATGAAATAGAGCTGATTTGGAATTACTGCCCCATGAAGACAGAGGAAGGGGCCTCCATCCATACTTGCTAGAGGACTGACAGATGCCATCATTAGCAGGCCTAAGAGAATTTAGTAATCTTGACCTAGGCCATGAGGTTGAAGGTCAAAAGGCCTTTTCCTAATACACCCATAACTGTAAGTATGATTCTGTGAAATCTGTGTGGCCACTGCAATGGATTTCAGATCCTGTAGAGCAGTACAAGCAGAGTCAGAAACTATAGAGCCCGGGCCAAAAAGGTGGCCAACTGCACAGCTTTGAATGTCTGTCACTCCAGAGACAACATTTCAGTCTTCTACATAAGGCTCTTGAAAGAGCCCACTATTACTTCTTCACAATCTTGTATTCCACAACTTCACTCATAATTCTTTCCATTCCAGTTGTAGTTCTCATACATCTCGTACATGTATTTTACAAATTTAAGCCTTTGGAATTACTGAAACTACTAAGGCCAGGTGAAAAACCAAAATAAAACTAATCACATAAACAAGTTATATATAAACTCCATTCCCCTCTCTCCTTTCAAGCACCTCCTAATTTTGCTACAAAAACTTGTCTCAAACCAGAAAGTGTACTTTTGTCCTTGGTTATTTATTAGCTGCATAAACTTTAGGTAAGTAATTTAACTCATTCTAATTTGTTTTAAAGAAAACAGCTTCTTTTAAAGACATTTGGAGTTAAAAAAATCAATTTAATAAATGTTTGAACATCTACTAAATATAAATGTGCTGCTGTAAAAGATATGGGAAGACAATGCTTAAATAACTCTTGACCTTTGATCACTGTTGTTTTTAGGTGCTGTCTAATCTACTAGGACTCACTGTGACCTTACAAACTTTGCCCTATTCTATGCCACTCTCATAATTTCTGATATACCTGAACTCACTGATAATAGTGTCACTTCACCTTGTTAAGGGTATTCTTGTCTTTTGCCATGCCTCGACCTTACTAAGAATGATATCTTCTTCCAAAGATTGGCCACTCCTGACAACATACCCAAAATATTGTGCGATGACGTTTTGCCATCCTTGGATCTAAGGTGCACTCTAGCTGCACTTTTCCCAGGACATATATATTTGTTCTTTCAGGAGTCCATGGGGTACTATTCAGTGTCCTTCTCAAACAGCACACTCAAAGGCAACAATCTGACCATTCGAAAATTCAATTTACTGAAAGACATTTTTCACACTTTGCAATAAAATAGAAGCATAAAGTAATTCCACCAAAAATATTTTATTCAGACATACTGGCAGAGGTGAAAACTGGGCATGATATTGAATAAATCTACTGGACTGACCTTTAGCAGATACTTATATGTGGCAGGACTGCCTCAGCCTCTTTCAGAAGGTGTTCAATACTAGGTCAAGGATTGTTGTTTTAGTTGTTGATTGCCTTTGAGTCAAGCACGACTCATAGCGACCCTATGAACAAAAGGCCTGAATCCTTTCTATGACTATAGCCGTTTCTCAAAGTTTACAGATTTTCCAGGAGCATACTGTTTAGGAAGTGGATGCCACTCCTACTTCTAAGTGAGGTACTACAATACAAGAAGTCAAAGAACTTAGAAAGGAGCTAAGGAGTTCCACTGTTAACCCAGTGAGACACAATTTGATTGCACGAGCTGTTCTGAATGAGAAATAGAAATAACTTTCTCTTGCAATATGTTGTTGTTGTTATGTGCCGTCGAGTCGCCCCGACTCATAGCGACCCTATGTACAACAGCCCTAAACTCCGCTCTGTCCTGTGCCTGTCTAAAAACCTGCCGGAGGGCCAGCTATGAGTCTGTTTGACTGGACGGTACAGAACAACAAAAATCAATTGAGGGTACAAGCCTTTTAAACAGCAGAAAATTGGAGGCTTTGTATTTTAACAGACAATATTAAAGAGTGACACTAAGTGATTTAAAGATTACACTGATAGAGTCTGTCGAATCTATCTCTTCCCTAGAGTATTTCTTTCAAGATAAACCAGTAACACAAAAATCTACCTCCGCCTCCAGGAAACATTTTCTATTTAAAGTATTTTCTCCACCGTTAAGAGATAAAGAGCACTGTAGAAGAGTCAGGATCTTCTAGGAGGTAACCCAGGAAAGCGCTGAGGGACTGGGACTGGGGATGGGAGGTTTAGGAGTAGGCTCACCTGTTCGTCCTCTTGCATAGAGGCGGCCAGAGGAAGCCCGTCCGCCACTCGGGCGATCATTGTTAGCAACACCATCTTCACAGATTATGGGAATCAAATGTTAGCCCGAATGGGCGAAAGCGTCGTCCTCACTTTCTTTGCTGCGTTAACAGTTCTATCTCTACCTCAGCTCCCAAAGATAAATCCGCTTGCGTCTTCGCTTCAAGCTGAGGTGGCCGGAAACAGATCAGGAAATTTTCACTACCGGTCCGCATTATTTGCTTCCGACCGAGAACGACAACTGCGTAAACAATGGTTCCGCTAGAGCTGTAATAGTTCAACCGTCACAAATTTCCAAGGCCCCTTCTGCTTTTCTGGGGAGCTCTGGTGGCCTAGTGGTAAGAATCTATGCTGCAAATCAGAATGCTTATGGTTTGAATTTTCCAGCTGCTCCGCGGAAGAATGGGCAATCCCGCTGGAGGGAGGATGGGCAATCTCCTCCCACCCAGAGCATCAGCTATGGTCGGTTCCTACTTCACGATACTCAACCATAGCTTCAGATTGGCCCCGTGAGAAGGCACGAAGTCCAAACTAAAACAGAATTTTCTAATTTTGATACTGTAAATTTTCATACAGAAATCTGGGGAGGAGGGTAAGAGTTAGTGAATATTTAGGGAAAAGCATATATGAAGAAAGTGAAAATTACATTATATATTTTATATTTAAGATCTGTTTCTAGGCAGAGACTCTGTGTGTGTGTGTGTGTGTGTGTGTGTGTGTGTGTCTTTGTTTTATATCCTTGTACAGTTTCTGGTAAGAGGTCAATATATAGCTCTTGTTATTGTTATGTACATGTGGAGTCGCCTGCGACTCAAAATGAACCTATGCACAAAGCTCTGAACCTTGCCCAATCCTGAGCCAGTCTCACTGTCTCTGAAGTACCTACCCCTATCACTCCAGTCACTGTGTCAATCCATCTCTTCCAAGGTCTTCCTCTCCTCCATTGCCCCTTCACCTTTCCAAGCCTGATGTCTTTCTCCAAGGACTGGTCCCTCCTGGCATCATGCACAGCGTATGTGAGATGGAGCTTCAAAATTCTTGCCTCTATAGAGCAACTTGTTTTCTCCCTTTCTAGGACAGACCTGTTAGCAGTTCATGATATGTTCCATACTATTCTTCAGCACAACAATTCTAAGGCATCAATTCTTTTGTTATCCTTAATCACTGTCCAGATCTCTGGTGTACAGCAAGTAACTGCAAAGACCTTGCCCTGGATCAGGCACACCTTAGTCTCTACACTGACATCTTTGCTCTTCAGCACTCTGAAGAGGTACCTGACAGCAGACTTTCCTGATACATTTTGTCTTTTAATATCTTTGTATAGTTCTTGTTGTTTTTGTTGTTGTGTACCATCCAATTGGAACTAACCCTCTGCGGGTTTCCAGAGGCAGTTATTGGATGGGAGGAGACTGTCCATCCTTCTCCTGAGGAGCAGCTGGTGGCCTGGAACCTTGTGCCTTTGGGATTGCAGCGCAGCTTCTTGCCACTAGGCCATCAGAGACCCCTAGATTTCTGCATTTCAAAGGGTGGGTGATCTAGGTGTTAATGTGTTTATATAGTTCTTAATATAGTAATAAATTAACACCTAGATCACCCACCCTTCAAAATGCAGAAATCTGGGGCACAATTATGGAAACCTCATGTTGTTGTCAGGGGGCATCAAGGTGAGCACACCTTGTAGTAAACCTATGAACAGACCTGAACCCTGTCCTATCCTGTGCCATTCTCATCATCTCTGTCACACTTAAGCCCATTGCCGGTCACTGTGTCAATCCATCTCATTGAGAGTCTTCTCTTTTTGCTGTCCTTCCACCTTTCCGAGTATGATATCCTTTTCTGAGGAATAGCTTCTCCTAGTAACATGCCCAAAGTATAAGAGACAAAGCTTCATCATCCTAGCCTTCAAGGAGTACTCTGGCTGCACTTTCCCCAAGACATATAGTTTGGCAGTTTGTTCTTTTGGCAATCAATGAGCTAGTCAGTGTTTTTGTTTTTGCTATCAAGTTGGAACCAACCCATAGCTGAACCTCCAACAGGTTTTCAGAGGCAGTAAATCTCTGAAACTGAGTAGGGTGGAGTTTGTCTATCCTTCTTCCAAGAGCAACTAATGGATTTAAATTGTGTGCCTTTGGGATTGCAGAACAGCTTGTTATCACTAGGTACTCATCTCCAACACCACAACTCAAAGGCATCAACTCTTCTTCTGTCATCCTTATTCATTCCTTGTATACTTCTCAGATGCATAGCAACTGATTGAAAAGACTGTGGCCTGAATCAGGCACAGCTTAATCTTCAAACTGACATCATTGCTTTTCAGTATTTTGAAAAGATCCCTCACAGTGGACTTGTCCACAGCTGTACTTCTCCTGCTTTCCTGACTCTTGGTACCAAAGATGTTGATTGTGGATCCAAGCCAGATGAAATCATTGACTCTTTCAATTCTTTGTCTATCATGATGTTGCCTATTGACGCAGTGATAAGGACTTCTGTTTTCTTTATGTTGAGATGTAATCTATATTGAAAGCTGTAGTCTTTGATCTTCTGCAGTTAGCATTTCAGGTCCTCCTCACTTTGAGCAAGCAAGGTTGTGTCATCTGCATAACACAAGTTGTTGATGGGTCTTCCTCCAATCCTGATGCAGCATTCCTCTTTACAGAGTCCAACTTTTGGAAGCTCAACATCCAGTTTCATGGAATATTACTGAACAGATTTAATAAGTATGGAGGAAGGATACAAACCTGCCACACACCATTCCCGATTTTAAACCATGCAGTGTTCCCTTGCTCCATTCTGACAACAGATTTTTGATCTATATGTAGATTTCATAAACATACAATACTTAGATCTATCCAAATACCTAATGGGACTGAGTTACTGGACTTAAAGGTTAAGCATCATAGTCTTGGGAAACATCCGGGTCAGTTGGAAAAACAACTCATAAAGATCTTGTTCTACCTCTCATTTTGTTAGTAGCATCTGGAATCTTAAAACCTTTGGCGTAACTTTTTAAGATTGGTCTCTTCCAATAGGAAGCAAAGGAGAATGATGGAAATGAAAGACTCCAAGAGCAATCAGTCCACAGGACTAATGGCCCATATGAATCATTAGAACTTGAAACCGTTCCTCTGACGCCAGAAGAGCTAGAGGGTGTCTAGTTACCACTACCAATCACTATGACCAGAGACACAATAGACTATACCACTTAAAACAAGAGAAAAATGTAAAACAAAACTCAAACTTATTTTTAAAAGACTAGACTTACTGAACTAATAGAGACTAGAAGAACTCAGAACCCTCAAGATTATTGCCCTAAAATATTCTTTTAACTAAGAATTGAAGTAAATTCCAGATGTCACCATTCTTCCAAATAACATATTGTCCTATAAAATAAGCCATAAATTTTCATGATGGATACACTTCATAGAACAATTAACTGTAAAAACTGACAGGACAGCATTTACTCTGAAAGTAAAGATGAGAAGGCAAAGGAAGGAGTAAGGGAGAGTGGAAAAATGGAAGTGGGGAAAGAAGAGTAGAAATGGAAGGAGTACTAACGCTTTGCAGGAATAGCAACTGATATTATGGGACAACTCATATAAGTTATTAAATGAGAATCTAATATACTGTGTGAACTTTCACCTAAATGTTGTTGTTGTTGTTGTTTTTGTTATGTGCCATCGAGTCATTTGTGACTCATAGCGACCCTATGTACAAGAGCCCTAAACGCCATTCTATCCTGTGCCTGCCTCACTGTCTCAAACACATTCATTCCCACCACTTCACTCACAGAATCAATCCATCTCATCAAGAGTCTTCCTCTCCTGTGCTGTCCCTCCACTCTCCCAAACATGATGTCCCTCTCCAAGGACCAGTCCCTTCTTGCAACATGCCAAAAGTATGTCAGATGAAGCTTCAGAATCCTTGACACCAGGGAACATTCTGGCTTCACCCTCTCCAGGACAAACCTGTTTGTTCTCCTAGCAATCCATGGTATATTCAACACTCTTCTCCAGCACCACAACTCAATTCTCTTTCTATCATCCCTATTCATTGTCCAACTCTCCAATGCATAGCACGTAATTGCAAAAACTATAGCCTGGATCAGGCGCATCTTAGTCTCCAGCCTGATGTCGTTGCTCTTCAGTACTCTTGAGAGGTCCCTCACAGCTGGCTTACCCAATGCAATTCGTCTCCTGATTTCCTGTCTGCTGTTAACAAGAGTGTTGACTGTGGAAACAAGTAAATGAAAACTGTTAACTATCTCAAGCTCTTCACCATCCATACTGATGCTGCCAACTGGCCCAGTGGTGAGAATCTTTGTTTTCTTGATATTGAGCTTCAATCCATATTAAAGACCGCAGTCCTTGACTTTCTGCAGCAAGCTCTTCAGGTCCTCCTCAGTTTCAGCAAGCAGGGTTGTGTCATCTGCATAACGAAGGTTGTTGATGATTCTTCCACCAATCCTGATGTCACATTCCTCCTCATACAGCCCAGCGTCTCAGATGATCTGTTCTGCATACAGATTGAAAAGGTACGGAGACAAAATACATCCCAGACGGACCCCTTTCTTGATTTTGAACCATCCAGTGTCTCCCTGCTCTGTTCTGAAGACTGCCTCTTGGTCCAAATATAGGTTTGCCCTAGAGAGGGTGAAGCCAGAATGTTCCCTGGAGTCAAGGATTCTGAAGCTTTGTCTGACATACTTTGGGCATGTTGCAAGGAGGGAACCCCAATGAGATGAACTGACACAGTGACTGCAGTGTGTCAGAGATGATGAGGATGATGCAGGATAGGACAGGATTCGGGTGTGTTGTTCATAGGGTCGCTATGAATCATACATCTAAGAACAAGAAGTAACTTATGAATATTAGTTTTACCAAAGAGCACAATAAAGTTGTGTTAGGTTCCCACTTTGTAATTGGGTAAATGCTTCAGAAGTCAGTGATAGAGACTAGATTTGAGTCTCTAGGTTCAACTCTATTAATCCTGATGTTATTCTGTTTTTATTTCAACCCATGGTTTGAAGAGGTTTTTAAAGACAAGATTATTTAAGACCAGCTGACTGAATCCCCATAGAGTGAAATGGGAGATAATGCTTTGTAAATAGGAACCAAGTTTTGGCACAACCATACAATTGGAATACAAATCAAATTCATTCCGACTCATAGT